AATTTTTAGTACTCATTTTGTATTAAATTGTACCATTAATGATAATTTTGTACCGTGTGCCATTTCGAAAAAAATCGTTACTGGCTTAAAAAGCGCTACTGGCTTAATACTAACCAATATTTACCAATTTAAAATAAAAGATAAAAAGAAAAATAATATCAGAAATCAATACGATTGAATTTGTACTATTTTGTACTACCAAAAACAATTTTATATTATATCATTTCCAAGAAAACAATGACGTTGATAATATTTAAGCTGACAGGGCCATAAGAAAACAAAATGAGGGAAAAAATTAACACAACTGAATTTGTATACTAATTTGTACCATTGAAAATAAGTTAATATTTTACATGTTTTCTCCTTAAAATGACTTAATGAATATATACTTACAATCTATTCTACTTCAAACCGTACATCTTTGAAACTCATTTTATTTTTTTAATTTGCTAACATATTCTACACATAACATATTCTACAGATAATAATAAGACACATGTTTCGTAAAAATGAAAAATGTGAGATTTTTTTGTAAAGTTATTGACGCTTGTAAGTTGCGTAAATTTATAAAAAACATCGCTCATGAAACATTCAAATTATTATATCATCGAAATAATTAGTCGTACAAAAAAATTTTAAGATTTTCCGAGATTAAAAGTCTGATTCTAAAGGTCTTAAATTGATCTGGTTAGATTATTTTTAATTTATTATTTTCATATAACTAAATCATTTTCCATTTGTTTACAATTTTTATGAACATTTTTCATCATCAACTCATCAATTTAAAAATTTTATAAAAATATCATATTTCCATTTCAATTATGAAGTAACTGAAAATTTCAAAATAGAACTCGAATGGACTGTATAATTAAAAAATTCGAATTCTATTTTGAAATTTTCAGAGTTCCTTCATAATTAAAATGGGAATATATTTTTACAAAATTTTTTAATTGATGAAGTACATCTTTATGTCGATTTGTGTACAACGCTTGAAAGTGCACTAAGTTCGCACTTGTTCTGCCAATGAAAAACGCTACTATATGCAGATCTTTGCGGTAAACATTCTGAAGAGAAGTTAGAATTTTATCTTTTAGTAGAGGAATAAAACTCAAAAGCTGATAAATATACTACATATATAAATATATACATATACATACAATGAGTACAAAAAATATTCATACAGAGATAATATTTTTTTAAAAATCTTTATTTTTAAAAATTAAATATTATCCAGCGGGGAATGAGTCATCAAATTGATGCCGAATCGATATCGATACGATGATTTCAATACTAACGTGACGTCGATTCGACGTTTAATTGATAATCATTTCTTGCTGGGTAATTAATAATTTATTCATAAAGTATAAAATAGACTGTATATTTCTTAAAATTATATATATCAAAAAGAGATGTGTATTAATTATAGAAAATATATCATCTAAAAAATAAGCGAAAATTAAAAGTTCCATTGTTTGGATGCTCAAAAAGTATTTGTACAGTCGAGAAATTTAGCTTATAAAATCAAAAATACTGTATATGTTAGAACAGAATGTATTTATTGTATAAAATTGCTAATTAATGTTTATTTTCTACAAATAAGACCTTTTTAATAAAAAATTTCCTT